CCCCAAAACCCCAAAACCCCAAAACCCCATAAAGCATAGATAATAAGCAAGGGAGAGAGAGAATCTTATAAATTAAAATGGTTTATTGGGTATGTTCATTCTTCTTATTAGAACAAATTATTCTTAATTTCCATTACTCTAAACTTTTTGATAAGAGATAGTTAATTGATTTATATTATTCAGTCTTTATAAATATTCCATTATAAGTCCTACTCAGACTTGTGAGATGTTATCTGATTGACCTTGGATACTGCACACAATGTCAACTAATTTCTCAATTAAGCCTGTCACTAGCTTGTCCTATTGTCCAGTGCCTTTAATTGGGCTTAAACTGCTCATACTGTTGCTGTTTTGCTTATTTTTCAAAGCTATCTACTATAACTGTGATAATTGCATCTAAGCCTAAGTTTGATTTTGAATCGGTTGCTACTGCTGCTAATTATCACTGATATTTTCATCTCCCTAGCCAGTGAGCATATCTGTCAGACTGCTCTTGAGGGCCTGGATCAACTTGTCCTCGTTTTCATTCATTGATGAATTCAAGTACTCATCAGTTAGGTTAATAACCCCTGATGCCTTAAGGTCTTCCTGAGTCAGAGTTCTATCTGCAAAGTTATTGTCTGTAATGTTGGTCAAGCGTTCATTGTAGTTCTAGGAGCTAGGGACTATCGAGCCCTTCTTGATAAATAAGAAAGCCTCGATCTTGCTGGTCTTAGACTACTTGTCCTTGCTGAATGACTCTATCATAGATTTGATTCCTCCAGCTGCTTGTCTCTACTCTAGGTTCCTTGACTTCTTCAAGCACAATATAGCATATCTATCTTGACCTATGAGAATTATTAAGAATTAACAAATTTTCTTACTGTCCTCTACTTTAGAGTCACTAGACATCTAGCTATTTACTGAGACAATGTAGAAGAGGTATTTCTCAGAAGAGTTATCTGGACTAGAATAGGCTGAAAGTTGCATCATTACTTGCACTTTGCTGGTATCTTTGGACATTTCGAGGAGCTAGCTGCTATGGTCGATGTACTTTAGCGTCCTTATGCTGTGACTGGAGGACTTGAGAGACTTCATTAGAGCAGCATGAACCTGGAAGTCTTGAATGTTAGTCAACTTGAATAGGATAGGCTGTCTAGGAATTAATGTATCACTAATCTTAATGAATAAGTCGCAGTTCTTATTCTGCTTACTTATATGCATGTATTCTAGAATGTTCGATACTTGATTATTAACTTTAACTTGGGAGTTGGCTATATCTTTAATGAGTTGCTCATATTTAAGCAAGGAAAATTTCTTGATCAGGATCTCAGTGAAGTCCTCACTTTTGTTTGGCGTCCTTGAGATACTGGAATTGCCTGCCTGATCATTCAAGTCTGAGGGATTGCTTAATGAGTCATTGCTCTGAGTATGAGTATTCTGATTACTTTGGAGAAAATTATTACTTAACTGACTATTTCTCTTTTTAGCTATTAAAAAGGTAGAATTAAGTTTTCTACTGGAATCTTGCTTTTTTAATTGAGGGTTCATATTAGGGGCTGAGGATGTGGAAAATTATTGATTGACTATATTCTTCGCTCTGATCTAATTCAGAACTTCTTACTAGAGTTTAGAGTCTTTAACAATAACGCTGATAATTTACTCTTCACTTTCATTTTTAATTGAAGGAGCTACATTGTATCTTTGGTTCTCAAAAGCCTCAGCATGCTTTAGATTGCCAGCAATTGTCCCAATAGTGTTCTTGAATGCTATACGACGGTCCACATATATCTGTAGAATGTGCAGAGCAGACTAACGATAGCCCTCTGAGTTTTCTTTTTCAAGGAAACCTTCAAAGTTGTATTTACGCATGTTGTTAGGGTCAATCCTGACAAGCTCCTTAATGAATGTATCAGCATCTATAGATCAAGTATAAGGTCAGGTAATGATTAAAGCAAAGAATTATTTGCAGCACGGAACTTACATATATTCTTTTGAAAGTCTATCAGTTTTGATATTAATTGAATTGTGGAGCATGCACTCACAAAGGAAGTTTCAATCTCACTCATGAAATAAAAAAGACCTTAAATGTTAATTGTCATATCGCCCTATTTAATATTAAAATCAAGAACTATGCTAATTAAATAATTAGGTTGATAAACATTAGCCTATCTTGATATAACGTAATTATCTTAAATCTGCTTACCTCTAACAGTAATCGAATGAGTTTGGACTGAAACTTTGGTCTTATCTTGAAATAAAAGTCTTCGAAGTCTCTGATCCAATGATCCTTGCTCTGCTCCTTGATATTAATGTTCTTAAAGAAGGTAAGCACGATCTCCTCCTCTGAGAGTCTCAATTTCTTATAAAGAGTTAAAAGGTCAATTTCAGCCTCTAAAATGTTCTAATCTCCCCCACATCCTCCTGTTGGGGTTGATACCTTCACCATGCTGCTAGAAAGTTACTTTTTATTAAGGTAGAGCTTAGTACTGTTATCAATCTTCTTAGTCTTGAACTCAACAGTTGACTTGGCTAATTTTAGTGGTATTCTATTTAGAGATTCGTCTCCACTTTCACTATTGTCCATGAAATCAAATTCATTATCTTCTCTGTCGTCAGAGTTCTTCGTTCCCTGTCTATGGTTGGTGCTTATTCTAAGTGAATCTAATATCGATTTCCTTTTCGTTCCCTTTGTAGCATTACAGTTTTAAGGAGACTCATTATCAGACCTTACTACTAGGTCGTTCAGATAGTCTCTCAAATAACCTAGCAAATAATAAAGTTAAACCTTGAAATTTTGTTATTAAATAATGTAGTCAGTAAATTTTTGGCTAACTGAGTATTATATTTAATTAACCCGAGTCTATTTACTTACCTTCGATTTTAAGAAAACTACAAGCATACTCATAATGTATTAAATCTGCCTTCTTGCTCAAATTGTTTAGATATTCTATTGAGAGTTAAGAAATTGTTATATTTTATGTCAAAAGTTAGAATTTGGAAATTTATGTCAAAATGTAATTTTTGTTTATTTTCTTACCCATTAGTTGAACTCGCCTTTCGTTGATGACTTTTTCATCATTTTTCCATATCTTCTTTGAAGGAAACTTGGGCAACTAATTAGAATTAGGCAGCAGTTTTTTCATCTATAAATTTTTTTAGACATAATGTTGTCGGATTTAAAACATATAAATATTTTCTGCCCTCACTTATCCTGAAAGTATTAGGACATATCATTACTTTCGACATTTCAAGCATCAATAATAGGATGGAAAAAGTCACAATAATTACTGATGACAAATATTCGAATATCAGATATTGTGAATAAGGAGTGCAGGAGAGTAGTTGAGTTTGATTACTTACTGACTCATGAAATTTCTTTAATTCTGAGTATCTGTATGTCAAAGACCACTCGCTTATACATGTCTGTACCTCTATGTGATAGACCTAATGGGGAGAAAATTAACTAATGTGAGTGACCTTACTGTGTATTATTGATTCTTAGATCTCTTTTTCTCAGGTTTCGCAATGATTGTTTCAGTCTTGTTAATGGTGAACTTGATCATTGATTAACCTTAGTCAATTGAGGCATTCTTGCAGGTGCAGGTTCATTAATTTCCACAATTTAAGCAATTTTTCTATGCCAAGTTTTTTTAGTAATAACTATCACCTGCTTAAGTGCTCAAAGCGCCCTTCATTGGAGACTGAGATGTATCTATTAGCAGTGAACGGAAATTAGATCTATTCCTGTCAACTCTCAAATCAGGGGCATTAGGATTTGTAGTGGTTTACATCACGAAGCTGGTCTCCTTAGATCTTCTGTATTTTTGAGCTTGTATTTATTGTTTGTGCATTAATTATCTTTAACTAAATTATTATACTTCCATTAATATAAACTTAACCTCAGAATAATATTAATAAGATAAATAACGAATCACATTCAAACTATTATTTGAAGGCACTGCAGTGAGTTAGATGCAGTCCTGAGGTAAGTTAAAATGAGTTTGAATTGGAATGATTTGATTGAGTGATCTCTCTTCAGGTTCACTGATTGATTATTTTATTAAGAGTCTATAAAAATAGTCACATTTTAATGGAGACATTAATTCAAATCTTACCTATTTGCTAATATCTAAGCCAAAGCTTTGAATTGTGCTCCGAAATTTATTCACGCTTTCGTCTTTAAGAGATTCATTCAAATCTTTCTTCTCACTCATTTCTCTGCGGAATTCTTTTATTTTGTCAGCAAGCTGTGAATGTAAAGTAGAGGTGTCTGATTAAAATGGGAGTGAATCTTTTTTAACTTTTAAAGATGAATTATACCTTTTCTATAATTATGCCTTTTCTTCATTTAGGCTTTTCAATTACTGTCCATAACCTTCATTTATTAGTGAATACTGGTTTCTATTTTTTGCAGTAACAAGGGCATATTCCGACTGTCTCAAGCCTTAAGTCTTGAAATTAGCCATGGTTTTATTTAGAGAATTGCGTTTGCTCATAAATTATTAATTTTCATAAATGCTTTTAACTAATGGCGCAGTTTATTTTATAAGTTCTATGGATCTGTTCAAATCAACACTACTGTTATTTTAGTCGAGTAGATCTTTAGATATCGTATGATTACTATTCTTGATGGTTTAAACGCTAGGTCCTCCTGTGTTTCTCGATTTTTAAGTTGACTGGGTAGTCATTTTATGCACGTTTCTCTATTTAAATTTGCTTGAGGATTTTAAGACAGATATGATAGAATTTCCCTGTATATTTGAATAGCTACTTTATGGATCAAAATTGTAAGCGTTTAGATTATACCTTTGATTTGGCTCATTCTTTAGTGATTAATCTCTAGCACTAATTTCAAAGGTAGAAAGCTGATTTGATTGCTAATACGAAACCTGCTTTTACTTGATCTATGTTAATAAAAGGGGTTCAAATTTTGAATTAGCTTTCTCATTAGAAATTTCATAGGCTCCAGTATAATTAATTAGTGGTTTCGTCAGTTTCTATTATTAATAGTTATCTTACTTAATCTTTATGTCATCTTCTGTAGACTTATCTCTTATTTTATATGTCTTTAAATTATGTCTTACATCAAGATTAACTTTGAATTTTGAATCCTCATCCTCTATTCTTCTTTATTTTGCCGATTTGAAAATACTTAAAGTTTTATTCATATTCATTGAGCGCTACTATGATTAGTATTTTTTAAGACTTTCTTTGAGTCTTATTAGCTAAGGATCAATATCCTAAAAATGCTTCTCAATAATCTCGAATTCATCTTTTGCCCCTGTTTTTGCTTTGAATAAGTCAACAACATGACTCCTTAGTCTTTTATAATCTACTAGAATGCGATTTTAGATTGATCTATAGTGCTTGAGACATTAATAAATATCTTTATTTTAAAGTTCAGGATAGCATATCTTGATGATATCATCTAATTCTGTTATTGTTACATACCCATTGTTATCCTTGTCAATGTTACGTATGAGTCTCATGACCTTCGCAAAGTTAATTTCATTTTCAATTATCTTATCATAGAATTCTACCTCAGTCATTACAGGAAGCTTTATTTTCTTTCTAAAGAGTTGGCCTGTGTATCCACTTGAATCAACTGGATTATCATCATGATCTGACTAATCAAGGTCCACACTTTTGTACAACTAGGCTACTTATTCCTAATCCTTGATGTTGTACATGTTTGATAGGTCTATTAGCATTCTCTACCCCTCATCATTGCCTGGGTAAACATCAAGCATCTTTTCCTTATCATTATTTTATATTTTGATATCAAACTTCTGCAATAACTCCTAAAATATCTCCAATGATATTTGATTTTAATCTGATTAGTCAGCTTTCCTTTTGCATTGATTTATGAAATGCTACCATTTGCTGCCTATTTTAAGCCTTAATCGATTGAAAAAGGCATTCACTTAGTCAGAGTTAACCCTTTAATGAAGTTGACAGAAATTCTTGTTGGACTGAGTAGGCTACCAGCATTTTGGCTGCTTGCATGTACTAATTTTAGATTAATGTGGCTAGTCTTATCTGAAAAACAAACTCTCCCCAGGATGAATTTCACTTCCAACTGTTTTCTAGAAGTCAGCATAGGACACAAGTCCATCTTTATCCCAATCCAGTCTCTTATAAATGTAATTAAGAGTTTCAGTATCTACTTTAAACCCCCAATGATCAAGATAGAACTTTAATTCCTCATGAATGATACCCCCTGATTTATCTTTACTCATATCATGAAATGACTTTTTTATAGTTTTCCATTATTACTAAAATTTTTCCAAAACCCTATCAACTATGTCTTTATCCTAGACAATACTTTTCCTTATTCCATCTTAGAATTATCCACAGTTCTTATCAAACTTCACTTTATTGATCTCAAATGCAGGGTTCATCACTGAGTCATGTCTGAAATAGAAACCTTAAACAGAGTGAATAGCATTGCCAACCCATTTAGAAAATTCTTGGTAATTGATTCCAATACCAGATTCATTTGAGGCTTTGCTTTCCAATAGTTTCTTGACCTCTTAAAATTGAAATTCATTGTCAGCTCCAAAATATCTAATTATGTCTTCAACCGTAATATATCCATCATGATCACCATCTAGATCAAGAAATGCTTTTCTTACAGAGACCCAAATCTTTGCAAATTTATCTTTTAAAAATTGATCAAGCTTCGTTAATCTTTCCTTCACATATTCTGGCTGTGTTTGCTTCTAATTTTGTTCTTACTTCAGCACAGATTCTTAAATTTTCTCATTCATAACTTCAGCAATGTTAAACGTTTGATGTAGATGAGGGAAAAAGTACTTCTTAAAGCTATCAAATATCATAACACCTCTAGAGATGCCATCACTTTGATCGATCAATTTTTAGCGAATACCTCCTTTTAAGGGAAACATGTTTAGAAATTGCATAAACAAGTGAACATCTTCTATCGAATAGGTTTACATATTCTTTAATCGTTTCTTTAATATATTCTGAACAGCAACACTCTATGTAAAGTCAGCTTATGTTATGAAGCCTTTTCCAGTGAAATCTAGCGATGCATAAGCTACTTCTGAGGATCGATAAAGATCTCTGAATTCTTTGGCAAAGACAAGTTTCATTTGATGGCAAAAATGCTACTTGCATAAACTAAAAAAAATTAATGCTATACTTAATACCCATGCTTAAGGAGCTTTTTTGTACAGTTCTATTTGCTACAGCTATTTTTGAGATGATAAGAGAGAAAAGGCTCTTTACTTTTTACTCTTATTTTTACCTAAGAGCCAATCAATTAAATGTCTTCATCTAAAAAAATTAGGCTTGATAGTGAGCATAGAATTATCATACCAATATGCAATGACTTAGCTAATGTTGATTTATTAAGTGACTCTCGATTGATCATAAAAGTTTTGCTCATCTTTTTATCAATAGATTCTCTCATTAGTTACCTCGGCATGCTCTGATATTGGATTTAGTTCTCTCCCAGTCTAGATTAAATATTGTTGTGGTTTATCATAATGCCTTAGAGAAATTATCTTAATAATTAAAATATTAATAAAAATTAAACTACTTAATTAACTATCAATCATCAACTTCATAAGTATTTACTATCGTATTTAGTGTCATTATAGTAACAAACAAGTCTACGCTTATTTAATAATAGAGGACGAGGAGGCTCATCATTGTCTTTTGAGCGTCAAGGCTAAGACTAGACAAACGCTCACCACTGCAGTCCTCACAAACCAGATCATGTCTCTAGTTTTCATCTCAGAAGTCTCAATAAAAGGATTATGAATAATAAATGCTTCAACGATCTATAGTCCAATCAAGATTCTAAGGAAATAGTCTCTAGTTTCAAGGTCATCGAAAAATGCAGTGGCACATCCAGAGACAAGCATCAAGAAGCCATATAAAAAGAGGAGTATATTTGTGAAAGCGAGGGAAGCTTCGTAGAACTTGAAGGATCTACTAAAGTTATTGTAGATGTACGACTCTGTGTTGTATATCTTCAAATTCAATCTGGAGGTTCTTATATCATTATCAAAGATATTTTGTAGTCCTTCATAGATGAAGTAGAGTGATAGCAGATATAAACTTCCTTAGTACAGTTTTCTATAATTGATCTTTGTCATTTTTATTTTTAAATATAATTCTTTGCCTCTCATCATCAAAATATGATCCAAAGGGGGTTTTGGGGTTTTGGGGAGATCGGAA